TTTAAGTATAAGAAGGAAAAGTGGAAACGATTATTTTATTTACTACGTTAAGTAAATGATTCCACAACAAATTTGAAGTTAAAATGCTTTACCAATACACCCGCAGCCATATCCCATGGTTTTAGACGATATTCCCAATATGCTTCTGCTACTCCAAGAGCTACATGGCACATGTCCACAGCTGCAGCACCAAGCCTTCTCACACCCTAGTCATTGTAATTCAGGAAAAGTTGAAGACAGAAAAGAGGAAAATAATGAGTCTTGTTATTTTGGGAGAAAGGGCTTATTTAGCATCAAAAGTCCTTTTAAGGTTCATACTCTACTGATGTCAGTAAATTCCTTGAATAATTCCATGTTGGTAATCCATGCATCATCATGTTCATATCCAAATCCAGTCACAAGAAGAGATTGCTCCACCTGCAAACAAGTATTTCTTTGTAAGTCAAGACCGTTAGCTTTTGAAATCATAAGCATATTGACGATGGGAACCCACCTATTAAAAAATACTTTTTAAAAAAACAATGGTAGTTATAAGCTGATAAATGATGATCAATCTAATTCGAAGGTATCTAAGGCTCATGCCTCAACAAGCAATGTACAAACATGTCCATAGCAAATATTAAGGGGCACCTAATCATTATGTCCTCGATAATGTTTGTCCCACCAGAATACAAACAATGCGTCATCAGCCAAGATCATGCATATTGCAGTATTGAGCAACAACTTGTCAGTAGATAATAGTACCATCTACTCATATTAAATAATTCAAGATATATTTAACTTTTCGAATCAATCTGAATACTCACCTTATCAGTTTGACTGGGATGGATTTTCTGTCCATTACAATATGCTCCCCCACCTAGAACCCAAAGCCTCAATTATCGGGCCATAAATATACTATTTACACAGGCATAAACATTACGGAGTTTTAACATTCCATATTTCTTACCAGCAGTAGCGGAAAATGTACGGGTATTCCAACACATAGGCCCCCCAACAAATTCCACCTACAGGTAAAAAAGTAACAATTGTCACTGTCCCAGCAAGAAACTGATTATGTAACTTCTACACTAAACATTCCGTAAGAGACCATGTTTTGGATGTCGAAAATTATGTACATATAATGTTGACAAGATTCAAGTAAGAAATTAATACCACAGAGGCAGCAGCAGGATTTCCTCGAAACAGAACACCCACTGAAACTGCAAAGCTAGGATAACAGTGTGCAAAATTTGTTGTTCCATCTACAGCAGGTAGCAAAGGTCAAATCAACAGAGCACTTATATCTAACATTTAAATAAAGTACTGATGCAAACGTGCAGGGAAATTAGTCATCCATACAAGCTATGATATGCTAAAGCATTTGTGCAGGCAAGAGTGCAGTACGCATATAAACTGAAAAGCATAAGTCTCCCTAGTCCCTGGATATATTTCTTGAATACTTTATAGGATAAAAGCATATAAACTGTCTTTGCTAAAGAAACTAAGGGCTGAAAGAGACAAACCTAAAGGATCAATACACCATAGATAATCTGATGAGGTATCTCCTATAATTCCTCCCTCCTCCCCAAGGATCAGGTGATCTCCAAAATTCCTTTTTACTACTTCAAGAATAGCAGCCTCACTCATTTTATCTGTGCTGCAGATAAAATCATGTGAAAATTGTGAGTTGTGGCTCCCTGTCGGAACTAATCAATTACAAGCACAAGCAAGGAGGAAAATAAGTCTATACCACATAATCACAGAGATTTGAATCTATATCAGTCATGGTAAATTAATAAAATAATGTAATTACAAAATAATTAATAAGGAAGAAAACACTTAGATGCGAGTGTTCATGTTCAGGCTTATTCTAACAACTGCAATAGAGTAGTAATAGACAAACTTTTAAATTCGAGTATGCCCATGTCTGTTTGCGTTTAGAGATTGGGAGAAAGAATGATGGGGACAAAAGTTTAAGGTAAATTATGTCATACTCTTTTAAGTATAAGTACATGGTGACAGCAGAAGACCAAACTTGTGGTGGGAGAACTTCATTCAGTGATTATACCATGATTTTTTTTTTTTTAATTTCAAGAACATGAATTACAAAAGCACGCAACAACCCTTTTTCAGTGATAAAGAATTCAATGAATATCATTTTTAATGTTTTAAGCATTTGACTTCAGTGGAAAAATTTTGACTTCATAGTTCATAGTATCACAATTACACCCCATAACAGTAAGGAACAAAATTATTACAACCAGGCACAATGAGCTGCAGTTTGGTAAATCAAACTGTAATTATCTGATCACAATGTTGTCAATCCCGCCATCCCATCCCCTTTACTAGTATTTATGAGACAGCAAAAAACTTGCTTCACTTCACAGGGTGAGGACTTTGAAGCATAAAGACAGAATCTGAATCAGTGACAGAACTTTGAAAAGTTCTTACTCGGTTACCAAGTCGGTTAGTCCCTTATATGTGATATTTCTTGGTTTGTTGACAGCATCCATCACCACCTTTAAAGAAAATGAAGATAAACAAAAAAAAAACTGAATATTGAATTGTAAAATAGAAATGTAAAGACATAAACGAAACACACACAAAAAAAAAAAAGAAAAAACAAAGAAAAGCCAACCTCAGCGCCAGTTTTTGCAGCAGTCTCAACAACTTCAATAAGCTGACTTGGAGGAATTGGTCCAGTTGATTTGGCACCAACTTTGGGATACTGTCTGTGGTTAGAAACCTCTGATAACAAGGCTCTCGTGCATAGTTTTCTTGTGGAATTGGTGTTCCAAAGGCCAACTTTTTGATGCCCCAGTGGGGAATTTGCAGTGAATTTGTAAGGTTGGTACTGGTTCGGGTGAACCCGAGGTGAAATTGATCTGGGTGTTTGAGAAAACCTGAGAGGAATGTTGGCGGAGAAAACAAAAGATCTTCCCATTTTTGTTTTGTTTTTTTTTTCGATGGCAACTGAGAATTAAAATGTCTTTGCTTTTCCGAAGTGTTATGTGTTTTTTATGAGGTTGTCTTGTGGGTGGCTCGCACTTACTCTGTCTGCGCTCATCATCTGATGCTGTTTCTGTTACTAGAATTAGTATAGTATTTATTTTTTTTTATTTTTAAAAAGTTGTGTTATAAAAAAATTATACTAAAAAATGAAATGGAGGACATAATATCTTATTGGAAACATTGACAATGATCGATATGGGACATAAAAATGATTTGATAACAATTCAAATAATGAGGCAAATATGAACAAATTAAATACAGGAATGTGTTGAAAGAGAACAAGAACAAGAACAAATTAAAGCTCTTTCAAGGTGCTAACAAGAACAATGTATCTACGATAAATATTATTTTGATCCTTTCAATATCTAGAATTAAGGTAAGCCATTGCTTCATCTTCTTGTTGAGTACTTCTAGAGAGGGTAGAAAGTCTTACACTGAACTGTTTTTCTCTAGGATTCAGCGTGTATATTGATCTACAAAGGAAAAAGGGGCTGCCTTTGTAGATTTCATCTAGAACTAGGTAGCCTCTCTGGAAGCCAATCTAAAACTTTTCTTTTTCTTTGACTGCGCCCAACTATATGCCACATGTCGTAACCCAACAGGCTGATAAGAAAGAATTCAGCAGCCGCCGTTTATGAAATCTGTATTTCTTTCCCCATATCTTTAAGCCGCATTCGAAAGCCAACCTGACTTCAATTCTTGTTGGGTACTAGAGTCATAATTTCAGGATTGCAATTTGGTAACGTCTCGTAATATTTGTGTGATCATGAGTCACTACAATCACCAACAAGCTCCAGGTAAATATGCTGGCGAAAACTACAACTCTTTCTATGTCTGCGTGGTGACTTTGGTGTAAAACTGATCGTTTTCTTGCCCATTGACAAGCCCTGAAACTGGCATGTTACATGTACCGAGGCAACTTTTTTAGTAAATTGACGGATTCCTGTGGATCTTGCAGTGGTATATCCTCCACCTCCTCCAGCAGCGCCAGGGCAAGTGTATCCTCCTCCGCCTCAATCCTATCCCCCTCCAGTCCAAGGTCCATATGTTGCTCCACCGCCAGTTGCTTACCCCATGAAAAATGGAGTAGAAGTACAGCAACACCCACCAGAAACTAGGCAGAGGGGTGACGGGTTCTGGAAAGGATGGTAACCATTTTGTTTACTCTTCTTCTTATGTTATATATGCTAAGTAGGATAGATGAAAAGCAATTAAAAAGGTGGGGAATGGGAAAGTTTGGGTAATATCTTGGTTTGATGAGTTAGATTGATGAAAGTTTTTGTTTGTGATACAGTTGTGCTGCCTTGTGTTGCTGCTGCCTCCTAGATTGGTGCTTTTGAGGACTCTCTCTCTCTGTGTCTGCCCTTGCCTTTCTCTTCTTCTTGATTTTCCTTTCTATATATAGAATTTGCCATCAGTTCATGCAGCAGGAAATAGGTAGAATTAGAGGCGTATTGGCATTTTATGTACTCCGTGCTCTCGCCGCACAATAATACCATCTGGTTATTTGAAATTTCCATGTGAATTAGAATAAGACGTTTAAAGCAATGAGACAACCTGTGTTTGTCCATGTCTATTACCATACCATTAAAATTAAAGAAAAAAAATTATAAAGTCCTAATTAATATTTGCATTGAGGAAAACCATTGAGTAAACAACAATTTTATGGATGAATTTTCTTTATCAATAACCCAAACACTGTTAGTATAAGAATGACTTTAATTGTGATACCCGACGGATATGTAAAAAGATTTTGACATGGTTTTAGCCGGTTGCTGATGTATCCTTCAAATCAGATCATACAATCAAATGTTCTCTGACGGATCCATATGTTGATGGATATATTTGGTATCCATCAGACTCCATGTAAATATTCAGCTTTTCTTTGAAAGTTGGGACAGGATGTAGCTGTTACTGAATTCTGATTAAGTGAGATTTCGAGATGCTGAATGAGCATTTCTTGCTGTTGGTTGAACCGTTTCAACTTTCAAGATTGGTGGATTGATTGATTAAATCAACTACTAATTTGGAACGAAAATCTGCAAGGCAGACTAACCAAACTTCATTTCTGTCACATATATGATCGAAGCAAATTCCAACATATTTAATTTAAGTTGTTCCAAAAACCACAGTTTTCCACATTTTTGCCCTTCACTTCAGACATACAGGGCTCCACTTTGGCATTGCAAACTATTTCTAACACCATTGCTCCGATACCACCATACAAAAGTTGAACAATTTATCACTGCTTATTACATTATTTTCTACCATAGCTATGTACAAGTGCATTTATACCATGGTTCAAGTTCAAAGTCATTAGCTCTTAATATACAAGATACACAGAACAAGACTTTACTTGGCCCTTTCATTGAGTTCAATAATTCAATTCTAAGCATCAACGGACACACTTATGGCATTTAGTTCAATGTGTTGCTTACCCTCATTCTGCGGATGAACAATAACAGTTGCATGAGCCTCAGACCTTGCAGATTGCTGATTTCCCCCTTGTGAAACAGATATCGAGCTAACAAATGGCTTCCTACCAGCCACATCGTCAAGATTGTCTTGATCTTCAGAAACAATTTCCCATTCCTCTTTGAATGATGTAACTTGTAAGCCTTTCTCTTGGTGACTTTCCATTTCAAATGCTGTTGGTAAAATCACATAATCATTTATTGGGTTGTAGAACGGGTCTGGGTCACCTGCCTTCAACCAGTGCTTGAGAATTCGAAATACATGAGGTTCACAAAGAATTCCCCGATGCTCACCAGGGACTCCAACCCTTGCTTCAGCATGGAGTCCATCAGCCTGAAAGTAATGCGAATGAAAACAAGTTAGACATACTGCTACTTCACTTTTTTACCATTGGCACAATATAAAATCTAAATTACATTTCAGAAAGAATAATTGGAGAATCATGGCTTGTCAGCTACTTCAGAATTCATATTTACCAATCAAAAACAGTCATTCTGATATATTAAATAATGAACTTCCTTTTCTAAGGATGAGGTTATTTGAAATCCAAAGCCTGTGGTCACCATAAAATTCTAGTTGACTCGCATAGCCACATTCAGTGCACATATTTACTTTTATATAAATCTCAACAATCCTATAAAATTCATTCTCCATGATATATGCAAAGTACATTTGTTAATGGCATTTTAAAGCATTATCATTAAATCAATTAATCCAGTAAATAATAAATTCATAGAAAGATATAAAATGGGGAGTCAGCTAACCTTAGCTGATTCTGTTGGAACTGTTCCATCACCATCGACACATACATATGTGGGCTGATATGCACAAGAAAGTCATCATCAATAACCAAATCCTTGAATACCAAAGATCCAGCCAAAAAAATTTTGCATACTACTATAAGTTAAAAAAAAAAAACAGAAAATGTGAAGTATCACAAAGTGGCCCCTAGAACTACAGCATATCTACAGAACAGCCTTCAACAAGAAAATAACTACCTGAAAAAACCGTAAATCTTGTAGATCTGTGACAGGTGTCTCCTCACTGCCATAGCTGCAAAATTTCCAAAGATAATAAAAAATCAAAAAATGCATACAAAATACCAGGAAACATATACTTGTATAATAAAGTTTGTAACACAATATTAATTGAAAGAAAAAATTCATGGAGCATTACCAAATGCTGTGTGGTGTCTCAAGATTGATCCCATATATATTGTAGAATTTAACTCCAGAAGGAACCTTAGCATGAGACAACACCTTCTGTGTCTCTTTAGCCCATTTCAAGATCTCCAAATTGAAAGGTAATGGAATAATCTCCCCATCATAATCGACCTAAAAAATAAAATCAAGCAATTTTACTCCAGATGAACCATTTAACAAATATCTTAAACCATTTACAAAACTACTCACGGAATTTCTTTAAACCCTTAATGAAAGATAAACTCCTTATTATATCTTAAGGTACTTATCCCAGTTGCTTTCCCTTTTTGATTTATTTATTTTTGGCAATTGACTCAACCCAAGATCAACTTTCTTTACCCTTGCAAAAGCAATATTCATAGCTTACCAAATTGCCTGAAAGAGCTTCCTTAAAAATATCAATGCTTTCTCCTGGGCGATAGGACTCTAGAATAATCCGAGGGTCACCATCACAATCTTGTTTCTCCCTCCAGATCTCAAGAAGTGGAATATGTTGCCAGTGGAAATGCGGACAAGCCATTAACTCATATATCGACGGGCACTCAATCAGCTGAATGATGCAGCACATAAATAAATAATCTGAACCACCTCAAAAATAACAATGAAGAAAAACATAGCAAAGCAAAACCTACATGAACATTTCAACATGCTCGCATGTTGCACATACTGACTCTGTGCACAATAAAACAAGCATAATGTTCCATCCAAATAACACAGTGTGGAGTAGAATGAGTTGGCATCAATTGACTTACAACACTCAATTACAGATTAAACTTCATTAAAGGTTACTCATGTATGATGAACTGGGAAAGAAGTACCTTCATTATTCTAGAGGACAACCAATTTAAAGTTTTGGCCTAAAAGTAATCACTCAATACATTCATATCTGAAGTTTAAGTCATAAGCCCCCAAGTTACTGCTAGCAGCAGATTTCCGCCACTTGAGTCTAAACAAAAATAAATAAGTACATAAAATACAGAGAAGAGAATTGAAATTGCAGAAGGAGGTGAGAGAGAGACATTCTAACAGGCTCTAAACCAAAAAAAAAAATCCAATCAGAAATAAACGTTTAGAAACGTTCATAAATAAAGGATATACCAATATAGAGTTAATGCCCTCACAGGCATCTGGGTTAAAATGCTGAGAATGACAAAAGTAATTAGAACATGGTAACATACCAATTGATGCATGCTCCACTTTGAAATGAAAAAGTTCTGTTCCCACCCATCAACAAATGACATTCCATTTAGAAAGGTAGAAGCAATATACCCAGGTGCACCTGTTTAAAACATTTAAATCACATCTCAATAAGCAACTTGAATAAAAATAATATCCAGCTAACTACTAGATCCTATTCGTTAGAAAGACCACTTACCGCGAAAAGGTGTGGCAATTGCAATCCAATTCTTCACATATTTCTCAAAAATCTGTACCAAGGAAAAGTAGACAATTGATCATTTCTCTTTTCAACAAGCCACACTGTATAACAAAGAGGTATATTACTAACCTACAATTTGATATGGAAACAAGGAAAGACAGAGCAAGATAAACAAAAAAAGAAGGGGATAGAAGAAGATTAGAGTGGATTCCTTACATCACTGTGAAGGCCCATGAAACATTTTATCAGAAGGCCCCCCATAGAATGACTTATGATGTTTATCTTTTTCCCTCCAGAAGCTTTGTACACTGACTCCAATTTTGCTGCCAAACGATCTAATGTTTCTTGCAATCTTTAAGAAAAACAAGAATCAACACACTGAAAGCAAATATGTAACTGACAAGGACAAATTCAGGACACCACCCTACACTACAACAAGAAATAATTAACAAATTAATTGATAAAGATATGATCATACCTGTTACTTTGCCGAAAGTCATAACCAAAGCCAAAAAGGGTTTTCCCTTCTTGAAAACCCCACTTGATCATTTCAAGAATCATATCATGGAAATAATAAACACACTCACGTCCAATGATCTGCATGAAAACAAAGAGTTCATTGAAAGCCATCATTAGTTCATATTCCTACCTTCCAAACTCAAGGAAAAACTTTGATATGGGTTCTCTTGGCATTTCAGTGCCCATAAGTCAAATTTTAAATTTTTACTGGCAAAATGGAGCTTAACTTCTCATTAATGCAGCAATTTTCAGTTTTTTAAGGTAATACCCAAAAAGACCTCCTTGATCATGCATTAAAAGATAAAAATGAAATACAAAAATATACCATGTCAGGGTCCAAGACATCGATGGCATGAAGTCCATATCTTTCTTCAGGAACTGTAATACTTGTGCTTGGATCTAAGGACACGGTTCTACCTGTTTCATAACCAATAACCCAATGATAACATCAATAATCCACATAATTTCAATTGAAAAAACTAATATATTTTCTTAACTTGTTACACCTAATTCAATTCAGATAATTCTTTCAATAAATTTCACCAAATATTAGCTCACAGTTCCCTACACGCATTAGCTGATTTCAATGATTAATGAATAAAAGATTCTCAAGCTTATTAAATTCTCCAAAATACTCTAGAGAAACTACGGTTTCAAAAATTCCACTAAATTTCTTTTAGGCAAAAAAAATTAAAAAAAAGAAGGAAATAATTACCAGTAGAAGGATCAAAGCGAGACCACAGCTTGGTCCGAAACTTATAATCGGCACCGAGAATCCGAACCCAAATCCGCTCTTCTTGCCCATTCTGACCATCCACGGCATTCAAAATTGACCCAGCAATTCCCGGAACTAATAAAACCGGGTCGAGGTCCGGGTCAACGTAAGGTTGAGGTTTCCTTATCAGCTTCAACCACATCTCCACCGACTGCACTATGTCTTCCAATAACATCGCCATTCCTAATCAAAACTTATTTTCCCCAGATAAAAAAAAATAAAGAAATTGATGAATTTTTTTTTTTGTACTTTTTACACTCTTTTGAAGCGTGAAATTAAGATGGGAGATTGTGTTTTTCCTTTTTCCTTTTTCTTTTTTTTTGGTTTTAGGGTTTGGGTTTTTTGGGGAGACTCTGTTACGTGGAGTTGGAGGGGAGAGAGGGTAGACAAGCAACCGATTTTCTTACAGGGCTAAACAAGGAAGAAAAAGAAGAATAATATACCAAGATGTAGTCATTATTATCAACAGAACAAATTATTAATTTAGTTTAAGAAATGGTCAAAATATACCATTTCAATAATATTATGTTGTCAATAAATTAGTAATTGACTAACGGTTAGATTTATTATTTAATAAAAAATATTTTTTTAAAATAAAATATTTATTTTAAAAATTAATAAATCTGTGTATAATTATAGTTAAAATTTAAAAAGTGTTAGTATATGTTAATTTTTATTTTTTATAGTAATTATGATTAAAACTTAAAGATGATAATGTATTTTAATTTTTATTTTTTGTCATGATTAGAGAATAGTACATATTTATTTTATTAGTATGTTCCAAAATTATGTTTATATATTAAAAAATCATAATATGTTAACATTATAACAAATTTTAAAAATTGTTAAATCTACTAAAATTAAAATATTTATTTAAAATTATATTGAATCAAAATTTAATTTGAAATAAAAAGAGTATTTAATAGTATTTACTAAAGTTGATGACTTATGCATGAATCCAGAGAAAGACCAATAGATTCGTATCCTAGGGGCGACAGCCGTGTTAATGTAATTTAGCGCCCGTGGTACGGAACGCATATGATTGTCCCCCGTCCCCTAATGGGTAGCGCATGAAGGCACTGGATTTCTGGACATGTACCCGCGACGTAGAAAATACAATTACATATGATTAGTCAGGCCTGTCTGACATGTCCACATCCGGAGACAAGACAAAAGCAAGAAGACATTTTCCGCCAAATAATTAAAAAATTTCCAAGAAAAACAAATATAAGCCCTTCCTTCATCTTTATTAGAAACAAAAATTGGATTATGAATTTTTTTTCTTTGCTTTTATAGCTATTTATGGGAAGAGTAAACTAAAGGGTCGGATTATTTTTTTTCAAAAAATAATTTGTTTATTTAATCACTACTAGTACAATACGTGAGGCTAAATTTTCAGCTGATAAGAAACTCTGACAAAGGGTGGGGCATGTGCCGTATTTTATTGGGCTTGATCTATAATTGGCGTGGTGGACCATCTATCTACCTCCACCGACTAGATCTCATGCTAAAAGATAAGAGAAAATATGGTCTTCTAGATAATGTTTTTGAAAGTTTTTTTAAAATAAGTTTTATTTTTTATTTTATTTAATTAAATATATATTTATTTTAAATTAAATAAATTTTTATTATGAATTATAATTTAATTATTATTAATTAAAATATAATTTATTATTTATATTTATATAAAATAATATAAATAATAAAAAATATATCTTATGATCATGTCATTATTTTATTATGATATATCAATAAGTTACATTAATGTTATATTAATGATATCTTGATTATAATATAAAAATTTATATAATTTAAAATAAAAATATAAAAACATATTAAAAATAATAAAAAAATAAAAATTTATTTAAATTATGTATATATATATTTCGATTCTTCAGCTCATTTGAAAAGAACAAAGAAAAATGGGTTTTTAATGTTTTTGTAATCTTAATACAGCCCAATATAGAAACTTTCAAAGCATAGTGGTTGGGCCAGAATACTTGGTCTGGACTCTGGCGGAAAGGTTCATTTCATTTGAGGTGATAGTTTCATGGGCAGCTCCAATTTGTCTCCCACGTCCTACTCTCACAAACTAAACAGAGAGATAAAGGGGAATGGAGATTGTTTCTGCAGTGACTGGTTGCAGCAATACAGCTCGTTGTCTTCTGGTAAAGGTATTTTTATACCCCTCTCTCTCTCTCTCTCCCTCTCTCCCCATTTTGTATATGTAAGTTCTTGCGAACTGATCAAAGGCAGTGAAACAAAATGAGGGTGTTCAAAGGGAAATGCAAACCAAGGCGGTCCTCCCTTAAAGCTGAAACAAGTTGGACGAGTGAAACTGTTCAAGAACTTGGCTCCGCCTTTAATTGCTGCACTCGTTGGCTTATCTCCCATCTGCAGCACCCCCGGTAACCTCAACCAATACCATACACTTGATGGCTGTTCATTATCCACATTGCTTTTATTGTACTTAAATGCCCCTGCATGTCATTCTATATGCCACATTGCCATCATCTACAATTAATGCCGTTATCGTTTCAGTTGCAGAATTTTGCTGTTCTTTGATTCTTTCCATTTGTTAAGAAATAATTTGTGGTTATCTTCTCACCACATAATTTGCGTCTGCTAGTTCTAAATTAGGATGAGCATGTTTTCTTAAAAAAGCATCTGCTGTGTCTAGTAATGTATTACATGATCAGTTAATCATGATTTGTTTTCCCTTTATCAAGCTTTTTACTCCTTTTTGTTCATTTTTCCCTTTGCATATATAAATGCTAGCATATTAAAGGACCAACTTAGCAACAACTTCTTAGGATGCATTATAAATTGATCATCATTGTATTGTCATAATGGGTACCACCCTCTTAAGTTCTGCAAAAGAATGACAAATTTTAATGATGATGATTATTACAATAGAATTTTCATTGCTTAATCTATCATGATTTTGATTATTGAGGAGCATTTTTGCTTAAAACGGATTTTCTTTTGAATGGCCCAATGGACCCTTTGTTGTGATTGTCTAGTCACACCAAGTGAAAAACTCTGAACATATGATCATCACAATCCGGAATCAATTAATGTTTACTACATATCGTTCTTAGCTTTTCTTCTTGGTGCAGCTCTTGCACAAACCGTTGATATACAGAGAGGAGCCACGTTGTTTCGTCAAGCTTGCATTGGATGTCATGATGGAGGTGGAAACATAATTCAACCGGTGAGACTCTTTTTATTTACCAAGTACTGATGGTTAAAGTTTCCTCTACGATTTCCTCTCTAATCCACTGTCCCATCTTCATTTTAGGGTGCAACACTCTTTACAAATGACCTACAGAGGTAATGAGGCTGCTGTTTTTGTTCATCAGCAGCAAAATACATGGATAGGAATGCAGACAACTTTATACTCTTGAATTAGATACCCTTCAAAGCACTTATGGTGAACAAATTTGGTATAAATTAACCAAAAAGAACCTGGAACTTGGAAAAAGAAATGGTATTCACTCAATGTCCTTGAATAAGAAACCAATTTAACCAAATTGTAAAGAACTTCAATTTCTTTGTGGCTTTCTCTGTTTTCCAGATATATAATTGCACCAAAAAATACTATATGGTTGAACTAATTGTCTCCAAAGTCTTGCATTCATTTTATATATGCCAAATTTAAGTTAATAATTGTGCGAGCTGATACCTCTTCCCCTTAACTCTAAGATGAATAAATATTCTAAAAATTAGTTTTAGGCAATGTCTCTGATTGATTGAATAATTACACTACAGGAATGGAGTTGACACCGAAGACGAGATATACCGTGTTACATACTTTGGCAAGGGAAGAATGCCTGTAAGAATGCCATATGTATATATAATAAGACTTGTTTGCTTACAACAGCTGCTTTATCTTACTTATAATTATCGTTTGGCTTGTTTGAAGGGCTTTGGTGAGAGCTGCACACCGAGGGGACAATGCACATTTGGACCACGTTTGAAGGAAGATGAAATCAAGCTCCTGGCGGAGTTTGTGAAGTTTCAGGCTGATCAAGGGTGGCCAAATATAGAAAATAATGACGATTGATTCTTGTTTAGAAAGACAATTAAGGTTGTTGCTCCAGAGATTTAGTTAGTAGCAGCTATAAATATAGAAAGAGAGAGATCCAAAATGCTAGGAAGAACGTTTCCCTGGGTTGTGATTTAAGTTATATGAATACATTGATTCACAATTACTGTTGTTCATGAGAATCGTTGATGTAATAATAATAATTGATCTGGAATCAGCCTTGGCCACTTGGTTTGAAGTGTTTTATTGGGCTTAGTTTCGATAAAGGTGATTGGACCTTCCTAAGTTTTTGACAAGGCTTGGCTAAGCCTTCTCAAACCAATAATTACTAATTTTTATTGTGAAGGGTATAGCATCGACTATGAATGGCACCAATAGCAAGCTACCCTAATTAATATATTGGTTGGACTGTCTTTGCAAAGTAATGTCTTCTACCAAACTTTTAATTATTATTCTTATATTATTACTCAGATCTATTACAGCTTGAAGGTTTTCTCTTATGTATGTGCATTTGAGTCCTTGATTAATGAATGATGCAAAAAGGTTGCAATAAATTAATTAACGTCAGTAATTATCATCTGTAATGCACCAATTGGGTTTATTCTAAAAAGAAAAGCTGGATCGATGCTTAATATTATTCTCCATCTATCTAGTCAACCATAGGTTATTTAATTGATTAAACTAATCTAATTCGTGCAAAAGATGAATCTAATGGCTCTTTATGCCTTTAGTTTTCTTTTTGAACAATTAGGACAATGTTCTTACTTGGCCTTAAGAATTATTACTAATTAAGATGGAATACAGCCAAGGAAATCATGTCACCAATTAATGCTTCTTCTCCAAGGCTTCATCTTAATTCATATTGAAATGGTTAGACCTGAAACAAGTACTATATGTGTACAAATAAGGATTAGAATCAATGCTGGTAATTAATATGGACTATTGGAAGTAGGAGTTGTCACTATGGTATTAATTTTCAGCAATCAAAAGATGAACAAACTAGTAATTAATGGCATGAAAACACGCTATATATATGCATTATGCCTTTAATGGACGTCAATGGGAGCTCATCAGTGACACGTGTAGTGGAATGAAAACACTTTTGCCCTTCAAACTAGCCAAAATGGCAAGTA